GGCAGAATGGTTTGGGGGACACGAGGTCCTGGGGTTCTCCACATTGGAGTATTGGTTAGTGTTCTGCTTCCTTTGGGTGCTGTTGAGTGGCCCCTGGGGTTCACGAGTAGCTTTCCATTGCTTCCTGAAGGGGCATCATGACAAGGCAGCTTTAACCAGATCTGTGGTTGGGAAAGGAAGAACCAACAGTGGACAGAGATTTGGGGCTAGAAACAGTTGGTCTCGCCTAAGAATCAAAGCCAGAGGCTGTCTTATCCTCTGGGCTTCTTGTCTATCACCAGCATGAGTACTGGGGACCATGGACCCAGGCTGGGACCCAAGGGACACAGCACATTGGCAATGAAGAGAAGAAGGCTGCTCACATAGGCTGTTGTTTTGTAAGGAAAAAGAGAGGTCAGGGGTCAAGGTGGCGTTAGGAGACAGGAGTGGGGGCCTCGTTGGGCCAGAGCACAGATTGTGGTCCCAGTGGCTCAAGGACATGGAGTCAGGCAGAAGTCCTAAGGAACTGCTGTCCCCACGGTACTAAAGGCTACTTAGCGAGCCCATAAGCTCCGCCTCCTCTGTCATCTTGATCCTAGTCACAGGTGACATGGTGACCTGTGTGTGAGTTTCTGATTGGCACAGAGCAGACCCCGTTAGTCTTCTTTTCTTTGGTTGTCCGTTTCGCTCCCGAGTGTCTCAGCTAACATGTGGCTGATTGGAAGGTGGGGTCCTTGAACTTGGGGTGCCAGATATCATACCAGCTGGCCACTAAAAAGGCTATCATCTGGAGTGTTCAGAATTCTTGTGGGTTGGATGAACCTTCCACGTCTGATGTGTTTATCTAATTATTCTTTATCAATAAAAAACTGAGAGTCAGATATCAGGGTAAGAACCTGAATGATTAGAGAAGCAGCAGAGAAGACATCAGTGACCTCCTATTTCTTCCGTTCCTCCATCCAAAAGGCTGAGATCCTGTCTCTTATCTGTCCTCAGTCCTCCAAAACCTCTATGGTTAATTTTGGTCAACTAGTGACTACCTCTGCCCTCTGACTCAAAGCAGATTTTATTGTCAGAATGCAATCAAAGTATTACACAGCACACATCAGGTGCCATGGGACAGGCAAGCAGAGGGGACCTTACTAGGCCTGGTAAGGAAATAGCCAAATTCTCCACTTGCTGTGGTGGTGCTGTTTCTTCAAAGGGACTATTTTCCAAACGGCAACAAAGAAAGCATATAAAAATGACACTGAGCCCTAGGAGCCCTCCTAGGCCCTATGGGAACCCCATGAAAATTCTGGGGAACCCTTTCTGAGAGCAGCTCTGGTTAGACTGGGGCCCGGTGGGGCCTGAGGCCTCTGTGTGCTTGGCTGCCTTTCCTGACCATTAATCGCTACTAAGTGTCATTACCGCTAATAAAGTTAACGGACTTTATACTGGGCTTCTGGAGCCATCAATCTCGGGGCCTATTACGTGAAATTAAAAGGGCAGGAGCCTGTTGCTGAGTAGAAGAGTGTTTTCAGGGCCACAAATGCAGCTGAAGAATTCTGATTCTACAGCCAGGCACAATATGTGATAACAAAGGACAATGACCTTAGGAGAACAAGCAACCCCCAGCCATGACTCTCCAGTGTGAGCGTGTCAGGCAAGAGCAGGCGAGCCTCGGGAAGGCTCTGGGGCCCAAGCCAGAGGTATTTCCTGCATCCTCCCTTGTACTCTCTCCTCTGCCACACTCAGAGCACTTGGTTCCTTCGGTCTCCTCGGCTCAGCTTCCTCTGCTTCTTTTCTGGGTCTCAGACCCAGCAATGCAAGGAGAGAAAGGAAGAGAAAGCAAGAGTGTGCTCTCGTTATCCAAATTCTAAATCCCCAGAGAAAAGGCTGATTAGTTCAGCCAGGGTCATCAGTTCATCCCTGATCCAACCAGTAGACCAGAGCAACTGAGTTTGAGGCCAGCCTGGTTATGTGAAACACAGTTATGGACAGGGACAATAGGCCAACCATGATAAACAGAAGGATTGAGTGGCAGAAAACCCAGTCATGTGTCCATAATATTTTGAAGTCCTCAGTACTAGGTACTCAAAAAGTGGCATGTGTATATGTATATGATGTATATATACCACAATAATATAATGAATGCAATATTTTAATGTATTATATACTATAGAATATAATAGTATCATAATGGTAAAATAATAATATCTGTTCTTTTAATTAATTTTTCAAATATTGATAATCAAACTTAGCTCATCCTAGGTAAGCACTTTACCATAGAGCTGAACTATATGCCGGTCTTACAACTTGTTCTGTGGTTTAGGATGCCTATGGACCATGACCTTTGATCCCAGCAATCAGGAGGCAGAGGCAAGCAGATCTCTGAGTTCAAGGCCAGCCTAGTTTTCTGAGTGAGAGCGAGTTCTAGGACAACCAGAACTACACAGAAAATCTATCCTGGAACAAACAAAAAGAAGGACCCAGGACTAAATCTAGACCAACACCCTATCAACTGGGCTGCATTCCTAGACCTAACTCTGTGGTGTGTGTGGGTGGGTGGGTGTGTGGAGGGGTGAGGGGGTGGGTGGGTGGGTGGGCAAAAGTGTACTACAGCATGGAGGTTGGAAGACAACCTTGGGCCGTGGTTTGCCTTCCACCGTGTTTGAGACAGGTTCTCTTTGTTATTTGCTGCTGTGGGTGCGTGCTAATTGGCTGTACTATCTGCCTCACTTCCCATTTCACCGTAAGGAACACTGGGATTATAGACACTTGCTACTGCGTCTGGCTTTACATGGGTTCAGGAGATTTGAACTCAGGCCCTCATGCTTCCAAGGCAAACACTGTTACTCACTGAGTCACTTCCCAGCCTCTGGTATTATTATTATTATTATTAATGACTATGAAACAGGCTTTAAAGGATGTGTAGCCCCATTGGCCAAAATGTCCATCATTACCATTTTCTTCTTTGGTATCTGCTTCTTCAAGCAAAGTCCCAATTTCTGAAACACGAATTGTGTGAGCCAGCTATCCCTCACCCAGGCCCTGGTGTGGAGAAGAGAAACTTTTGAAGGTTACATGACCTGTGTTCTCTATAGCCCTGGAGCTGCTGTCCACACTGGAAACCATTCTAGGTGGGGCCTCGCCAGCAGGACCTGACCTCAGGCTCTGCTTCTTGCCTGCCCAGGGTCAAGCTCCGAGGGTTTCCTGCCAGGCTGCAGGGAGGGGTCTGGGTATAGGCCTGGTGGACTGGAAACTTACCCATTTGCCCCCTGCCTGATTAATGTTTAACGGGCCCCTGCCCTCGCCGCGTCTGGGAGGGGAGCCGGGTACAGGCTGGGCTTGGGGGAGCCGATAGCATCTGTCTGTGCTCAGTGTTTCGGAGATATGCTCCACACCGGGTTGGGCGCTCCTGATAGACTTGGAAACTCCAGGGGCACCTGGGACCTCGCCAGGACCCCCACCTTCCAGTGAGGCTCCCTATTTCTCAAGCAGACAGAGAGGCTGTGGCATCTGGCCAAATGGCCTGGCTGAGGCGGGCGACTCCAGCAGTAGAGCCAATGCCCTGGACTCTGTGGGATAAGGGCCTCTCTGACTCCTCAGGACTTGGCCACAGGACTTAACCTTAGTTAGTGGCACATGAACAAAGGTGACAGGTGCCACATCCAGTGGAAAAGTTGAAAGCCCCCATCTGGTCCCACCTTTGCTCTCTTACCCTGGCTGAGAGGTTTGAAGAAGGGAGCTGCTCTCTCTAGCTTAGGTCTGAAAATGATGTGTGTTCCGCCCACATGGTATGCACCAGGGTGGGGACAATGAACATCTATCCCTGTCATAGGGAGAGAGGTTCAGGGAGATGGAACAGTCCTAGTTCTGGATCACGGCTTGCCACCAACTGGTCATGCCTACCATCTAAGCCACATGTCACCTTCACATCAGGGCAGAGGGAGACACTGCCTACTTAGAACACAAGGCACCTTGCAAGAGGAGAGAGGGAAGTGCCAGCCAGCAGGAAGGCAAGCCTGTCTGGCTAGCCTGAGCTTTCTATGCCATCCCCACAGCAGCCTTGGGAGGCAAGGGTGTTAGTGTTTATGTATGCCAAGGAGGGAGCCAAGGCTTCAAGGTTGCAGCTAGGACATGGCAGGGTTAGGTTAGAATCTGGCAGCTTGACTCTAGGATCCATGACTTTGGATATAGATCATGAAGTCTGGGATTTGAGAATCCCTCCCTCCCTCCCTCCCTTCCTCCCTCCCTCTCTCCCTTTCCCTCCCTCTCTTCCTCCCTCTCTCCAACTCCCTTTTCCTTTACCCAAGCTTCTATTTGTACCAGGCACCAAGTGGCCAGATGGTTGATGATCTACCTGGGATCCGGGAAACAAGCTAGACTATCATAGGCTTCCTTGGGCAGCAATATAACACAAAGGACAGAGGGACACAGGGGCCTTGGCTGGTGTTCAGCCTGCACTCCCTGTACTTAACCCTGGTAGTAAGGTGGCACTCCTTTCCAGGAAGTGAGCAATGCCACACATCACATCTCCCATACTTGCCTGAGCACAGCAGCCACCCAGGGGATGTGGCGAAAGTACAGCTTTCCAGACCCTGCTCCAAAGCTGAAGAAACAGAACACTCAAGTTCAGGACTTGGAAATCTGATCTTGCTGTGTAGTCCAGGCTGGCCCTGCACACACAGCATCCTCTTGTCTTAGATCCTCAAGTGCAGGGATTGCAGGCATGCACCATCACACTCAGTCTGGCTCTGTGTGTCCAGGCACCCGGGGTGACTTTCCCAATCGGGCAAGTTGAACGAGGAGAGACAAGAACAGACTAGAATCCAGAGAACTTGGGTTTGCGGTTCTACACCAATCCTTGCTACCTTGGTCTTCTACTCTATAAGATGGGGGCATCACCCCTGTGGGACCGGCATGCCATCCCAGGGGGTAACAAATGAAGACAGCCTCCTTCCACCCCTGTGGGGAGAACTTTTGCCCTCCACAGGCAGGGACCCCAAGCTTACCATCTCCCTTTTCACTCTCTCCAGTCTGACAGGACGTGATGTCCTGACGCCCTTCCCAGGCCTGGGCACAGCAGCAGCCCCGGCACAGGCTGGTGCCCACCTGAAGCAGTGTGACCTGCTGAAGCTGTCCCGGCGGCAGAAGCAGCTCTGCAGGAGGGAGCCTGGCCTGGCTGAGACCCTGAGGGATGCGGCACATCTGGGGCTGCTGGAATGTCAGTTCCAGTTCAGGCAGGAGCGTTGGAACTGCAGCCTGGAGGGGAGGACTGGCCTGCTCCAGAGAGGTGGGGAGGACGGCAGGGAGAACTTGGAGGGAGGAGGAGGACAGGGAAAGCCAGCGTGAATGGAGGGAGAGAGAAAGAGGGCTGGCAGGAGGTTATGGGCGGTGAGCCGGCTAGGCCCGGGCCTTATGGTGCTGACTACCTGGGCACAGTTCCAAGTGAGAAGAGACCTGGGGGAGTTAGTAAGGTCTGCTGAAGGTCAGTGGTTTGGGGGACAGAGGAACAAAGACAACCCAAGAGAGGAAAGGACACAGCATTCCTGGAAGAGGCGACAGAGGAGGTGGGTGGTCCCAACCACCTACTAAGTGATCCAAATGTGCAAGTCAGGCAGATTCCTTTGTCCACACGCTCATCTGTCGCCCTTAATCACAGCTGTCGATGCGTCATTCCCCCCCTCCCCTTCCCACCTGATTCCCCCTTCCTCCTCATCCTCCTCCCGCCCCATCATCCATCTGCTGAGCATCCGCAGAAGCGCGCAGTGAGCCAGGTACTATGCAAGGGGCCAGGGGCACAGGCTGAATGTGACCCTGTTGCCCTTGGAAAGTGCACCTTCTAGAAAGAGAAAATGGGTCACAGTATGACTCCACTGCCAAGTGGAAGGAACACAGAGGCTTTCTGTTGTTGTTATTCATTTTGAGAGACTAGGGCTCTATAGCCCAGGCTGGCCTGGAACTCATTATGTGACTTGTTCCAAACGCTCAGCAATCATCCTGTCTCCATCTTCCTACTGCTGGAATTGTAGGTGTGAGCCACTCACCTCACTTGGATCCACAGTGGGGGGGGTGTCTAGAAAAATGCAGTGATGTTCATGCCCATGGACAGCCCCGCCCCCTGCCCCAGGCCAGTGACTGTCTGTGGCAGGGAGGGTCTGAGATACAGCTAGCGGCCTGCTTCCCTTTCTTTTCAACTCTCACCGGTGTCCCAGATACACTGAGAGCGGAGGACTGGGGGAGGCATATTTGGGGTCCCTTCCAAATGTGTGAGCACAGTTGTTCCAGTACTGGGTGGATGTCAGATAGGACCCCCCCCCCATTCTGTCCTTGAGAGACATTAGACAGCTCAGAAACCCATTGAAACAGGCTGTCCAGCTTGCCACATAAGCACTTGACGTCAGGATGACTGTTTAGCTTTAGCTTGGTCCTCCCCAGGTGCCCACATCACTTTTTGCATAAGTTACTGAGATTAGCAGCCCGGCCCTGCTGCCTTCTGAGAGCCGGGCAAACGCTCCAGAGTAAGTCTGGAGGCCGTTTAAGGGGCAGCTTTCGGCCTGAGTCTGAAAGGCAGGTAACAGGAAGGCCTCACACAGCTTTGTCCTTAGGTTCCCACTCCTTCACCCTTCCCACCATCCACCCCACCCCACTCCTACCTTCAAAGGGCTGCAGACGGCTTCTGAGCTTCCTCTCCTCCTACACAGGCTTCAAGGAAACAGCCTTCCTGTACGCAATGTCTGCGGCTGCCCTCACGCATGCGCTGGCCCGGGCCTGCAGTGCTGGGCGCATGGAGCGTTGCACCTGCGATGACTCCCCGGGCCTGGAAAGCAGGCAGGCCTGGCAGTGGGGTGTGTGTGGTGACAACCTGAAGTACAGCACCAAGTTCCTAAGCAACTTCCTGGGCCCCAAGAGAGGAAGCAAGGACCTCCGGGCCCGAGCCGATGCCCACAACACCCATGTGGGCATCAAGGTGAGTGCCATGCCAGGCAGGGTGCAGAGGCAGGGAGCAAGATCCACGGGAGGCCAGCGCCCTACCCTCAGCATACATATGTCCCAGGATGAACTTCAGACCCCTGTCAGTGAACCTCCTCTGAACATTGCTGGGCACCAAGGGCACAAACCCTTAGACAGCATCATAGTTGACCCAGGCTTCGTGGCATCACACCTTGATAAAACAGGAAAGGAATCCCCAGTGCAACAACAAACAACCACCAGGCCTCCTCCATTTTGTAAGTAGAGGAGAGAGGAAGCCCAGAGAGGGGAAGGACATAGCTGAGGCCACACAGCCACAAGAGAACTGAGAGTGAGGATTCTCTAGGTCTATGGGAGTAAGAAGGTAGGAAGAGACCAGAGTTTCAGTTCTATTAGAACACTGGCCTGGCGCGTTCAGTTGTGCCGGCTGTACACCACACAAGAACTCTGGGCCAGTGGAGACGCTGTTGGCCGAGATCTGGCCTGTACTGCCTTTGCCCAGGAGTGCACTGCCTAGGGGAAGGGAAACCTTTTCCAAGGTCTCAGGTCGCAGTGACTGGTCCCATTTGTGGCCTTCACGTGAGCCTTGCCTCTTTCATTCCGCTGCCACTCTTTGTTGGAACTGGCATGGCGGGACAGGCTGAGAGCACGGACAGGCCTCCATTCTGCCTTTCTCTGCAGGCTGTGAAGAGTGGCCTGAGAACCACCTGTAAGTGCCACGGCGTGTCGGGCTCCTGTGCCGTGCGCACCTGCTGGAAGCAGCTTTCCCCGTTTCGCGAGACTGGCGCGGTGCTGAAGCTACGCTATGACACGGCTGTCAAGGTATCCAGTGCCACCAACGAGGCTTTGGGCCGTCTGGAGCTATGGGCACCTGCTAAGCCAGGTGGGCCTGCCAAGGGCCTGGCACCTCGCCCCGGGGACCTGGTCTACATGGAAGACTCTCCCAGCTTCTGCCGGCCTAGCAAGTACTCTCCAGGCACAGCAGGCCGGGTGTGTTCTCGGGACACGAGCTGCAGCAGCCTGTGCTGTGGGCGAGGCTACGACACCCAGAGCCGCATGGTGGCTTTCTCCTGCCACTGCCAGGTGCAGTGGTGCTGCCATGTGGAGTGCCAGCAGTGTGCACAGCAGGAGCTGGTGTATACCTGCAAGCGCTAGGCCTCCACCGGGTGAGACTGTGGTTCTGCCAGGACTCCCACCACACAGGACACCGGCAAGCACCTACCTGCCGGTGCACCGGCCGTGCACCAGAGTGTGCCCCTCATCTCCCCCAACAGATCGTTGGCCTGCCTTCTGCCTTCCCCGCTATTCGGAGAGAGAAACAAAGCCCTGCCTCTGAGTCCCGGGATCGCCAACCTGGCTGAGGACTTGGGACAGAACAGCCTAAGAAGAGAGGGGAGTCTGTGAGGACCAGGGCAGGGCATGAGTGATGCTATGCCGGAAGAGAGGAACAGCTTCCTGTCTCAAGGCCAATAAAAATTGGGAGGATATGGAAGAAGAAGGCGGAGCCGGCTGGAGCGGGGAGCATTCAGCTGAGCGTGGCCAAACTGTTGTGACCCCACTCCGATGGCAGAGAGCTCTGGGTGTCACATGCCTGCCTTGGTGGGGAGGTGGGGGGGGGACACTTTGCGCACTGGAGACTGTTCAGGATGTTTATTGGGAGCAAGGAAAGCTTTTTAGGCTTGGGTGGCTCAGTTCACAGAACCTGTGTACTCTGAAGTCTTACGTCCTGGCCCTCAGGGCTGCCTCCTTGTGTCCTTGTCTTGAAAGCCGAGTCCCCCACAGCCATTCAGCTCTGCTCAACGAGACCCCTAATGCTCATAAGAAGGGCAGTGCCGAAGCCAGTCTCCAAAGTGGGACTCAGATAACGCAACCAGGGTTGAGTCCGGGAGACAGTGACCCTTTCTCTTTTCCTTGGTGGCCAAAGGAACCTTTCGTCCCAGCCCAGAGGAGGAGAGCTGTGTCCTGATGGCTGGATGAGATATGGCAGGCTCCGTGTTGAAACACCACCCTGGAGAGTGTTCTACCGATCCCCTGTGACCGGGGTCTCCCTGAGCTGCGAGGCCCCCATCCTAGTAACAGAAGAATGATTGGCCCCGAGGCCACATGTCTGCTTACTTCCCTGTTCTCGCGCTGCTTGTTCAGGCTTTAGCCCTGGCTAAGTCTTTGCTAAGCCTCCTCTTCAGTGGTCCCATTCCTTTACTAATGGCTCCTTCACTTGGGCTCCTATCAGAGGAGCAGAATGACTGATGACGGATCAAGTAGGCATGTTTAATGTCCCCTACCAAGGTCCTCTGTGGAAGGAGAGAAAGCAGTGCCCAGGTACAGGCCCACACAGACGCCCACACATAGCCTGGCCAGGGTCAGGTTTCTCATGGAGCATTGCGTATCTCTCCACCCCAGGACAAGGGCCTAACTGGGGTCACTGCTGGAGGCTGTACGCTTCCCCAGAGCAGGGCCCGAGGCCAACCAGGAGGAAGTGACCTCCTTTGGAAAGCCTTTGACCACTTGGCCTGCTGCGCTGCACCCTCCTGTGAGTTTCCTTCCGCCCTGAACCCTGTCGGGGTTACTACCCCTCTAAAGGAACAGGAAGCTTCAGAATCAGTGGGTGCTCAGCGAACATCACCCACGCCAGCTCCAGGAAGAAGGCACTAGGGTTCAGAAGGGGCCACCCTATCTTCCGTGGCCCAGGGCAGCACAAGAAGGCTGGAAAGATCTCTGATGGCAGATGCTCCAGAGAAGAGCCACCATGACCTGAGACCCATCCCTGGAACAACTTTGCTGACTGAAGAAGCCCATCGACAGCCTACAGGGGAAAAGTAGACTGAGGGCTGGTTTTCTATCTTTCTGCTGAAGATTGACCTGTTCCTTGGTAATCTGAGGCATTTTTCTCCTCTGTGACCCCGACTCCTGCTCTGCCTGGAGGCTACACAGGCAGGAAGGGAGCCTGAAACAACTTGAGGACCAGAGCACTCTGATCTACAGCCATAACATGGTTAGGGGAGCTAGGGATGCAGAAGCGTCAAAGTTGGACTTGAACTAGGCTTTGGTTGGTCATTAACACTGATGCCCTAGGACACCCTCAATCTGGCCCTCTCCCCCATTTCCCTTTCTTTCTCCATGGGCCCTTTTTTCTTCTTCCCCCCTAAAATCCCACCATCGTCATGCTGGGGCCCCTCAGACTGGAACTTTAAGGGAGACGTTCACAGGGTATTTCTGCCTACCTCATACGTATAGTTTTTAGAAAATAATTTATATAGCTAAGATATATGGGAAAGTATTTATGTTATTTATATAGCTTCTCTATTTCTTGGTCACCATATGTGGGGTTCATGTGTTTACCCAGAGGCCTCTAGGGAAATACAACTGCATCTGCCAGGGGTGCTCATGGAACTAGATGCCAAGTAGTTGAGGAAGGTCACAGTTGCTGTGTCACATGGAAGGAAGTCTGTCTTGGAGCCTGGAAGCACACGTCCCTCCTGAGACTGAGCAGAAGCTCTCTTGTAAAGTCTGCAGAATCTCCGCCTCTGGGCGCCAGGGGCCTTTCTGCTCTGTCCAAAGGGTGTTGCTCACAAAGGACAAAAAGGATGGGCACTTTCCATTTTTAGAAACGCTTCTATCTTTACTCTCCCTTGCCTTCCCCATTTTCCCTATGAGGTTATGTGAGATGAGGCCAAACCACTGTACCCATTTTCCAGATTTGGCCCAGAGGTGGAGGTCTGTGCTTAAAGTCACAGGAAAGAGAACAGTGGGTAAATATTGACTTGACCACACCCCAGGAATGGAGGGAGTGGACCTACTCTGAGAGCCAAAGCCATCAGTCTCATTCTGAGCCTAGGAACTAAGAGAGGTCCTTGCCGCGTGTGACCCTGGACTTTCCCCCTGGATGGCATGCTAGTTTCTCCAGCAAGCTGAATCTCCTGTCTCAGGACTGGGACTTCCTGAGAAGCCTGGAGAGACAAAGACCCCGTGGAGGCCATTCTTGGGGTTCCTGCAGCCCACCCACATCACCCAAGATGACCAGGTTATAGCATCCAGCCCCTCTCAGCCCACAGATGAGTTTTGTTTTCTCTTTGAGGTTTTCCCTTTACAAATGAGCTGTTTCCCACTGGATTTCTGATTTTTTTCTTTGAGAATCAGTGGCACTGGCAATGGGACTGGCATCCTGACTGGCTGCCAACAGAATGCATGGGGATCCCCAGCGAGCCCAGTGTCCCCTGCCCTTCGTCAAGCCATTCACGCTTTCATCTGGCTTTCATGGGCACACAGAACCTGTGCCCTGGTCTAGGTAAAGCCAGCTGTTCCGGTACCCTCTGCCGTCTGGCAGACGGAGGACGGCATAGACTGTGCCAGCCCTAAAGATCAGGTCTTCCTCCCCATTGTCTTCCCTCAACAACCGTGAACTTCTGGGGCTTCCCATCTGAGCACATATGAGGACCACAATGGAAGTCCTTGGTTAAGGGCTGTCACACATCCATCCCGCCTCCTGGTGATTATCCAGGGAGTTCCTAATGGATGCCAGGAGACACTCCGGGTGGTAGGGTGCCACAGTGCCCAAGAGGCAGTCCCGGTCTCATGGGGCTGCCATGCTGGAGAGAAGAAAGCCAACAAAGCAATAAACTATGCAGTGGTTATTTGTGCTTCCTTTTTCATTGTTGTGTGTGTGTTCGTGAGTGTGTACGGGTGCATGTGGGTGTGTGTGTGGGTGTGCATGTAGAAGATGTCTTTTTTTTTTTTTTTTTTTTGAGATAGATTCTTTCACTGCCTCTGGGGTTCGACAAGTAGTCCAGGCTTGCTGGCTTCCCCAATGCTCGAATTACTAGTGTGCACCACCTACAAGCCCAACCTTTTTTATGTAGGTTCTGGGAATTGAACTCAGGTCCTGGATTTGCATGATAAACACTCTACTGACTGAGCCATCTCCCCAGTCCTATTGTACTTTTTTTTTTTTTTTTGTCTTGGTTTGTTGCAATATCACAGTTTGTTGCAATTGCCCAGTAAACGCTGTCACTTGCCCTGGCTAAAGAATAAAGATTGAGAGATAGGAATGTTCCTTATGGCCACCAGCAGGCAGTAGTGCCAGGCTGAACGCAGATCTGTGGACATCCAAAAGAGAGGTCCTTTTCTCCTAATGTTCCCACGTCTTCCCTTGGGCAGGTAGGGCAAGAACACACCCCTTGTTATAAGTTCCGGGTAAACGGAGGCCTCAAGTAAGGTCATCATCCAACCCAGGTTGCCCATCAAATCAGAGTAGGCTGAACACTGTGTGGCCTGCAACACGGGGAGGATGGGGATCACATAGAGCAAACGGAGCCTTCAGGAGCTTGTGGCCTGAGAGGACAAACAGGGAGCACAGCCATACAATGGATTCTGCATGAACTCCGAACTCTGAACTTTAGTGTTCTGTTTCTCCCGCACACGCTGGAGAGCCGTCTCCTCCTGGGGCTCTGGTGCAAGGGAGGTGGAAGCAGCGAGTCGGGGCACGGGGAGCAAACAGTCCTTTCCTCCCGGCTCAGATCTGCCCTGCCCCAGCTCTTCAGCCCTGCTGAAGGCTATATTGTCTCACCTGGGGTCCTCAGGGAGGGAGACAGCCCCGAGGGTACAGTGTTTCCCCTGTACCCCGTTCTAACATGTCTGAGGCCCCGTGCTCTTGGGCATGGATTCCAGCTGGTTCTGGACAAGTGACAGAAGGTTCCGCACACAGCAGCAGGCTTCGGTTTGTGCAGGGCTTTATCGTCTTTCTCACTTGAGCCCCACCTGACACGTGGCCTCTTCCCTGTCACAGCCAGGGGAAGTGAGGCTGGAATGGTTACCTGGTACACATTGGTCTGTTCCTTCTGCCAACAGGCAGACTCAAGGTGTTCTTTCCACTGCATGTTGTGGAACTGGGGGTGCATAACATGAAATTCCTAAAGATTCAGTAAAGAAATTAAGTTAAATATACAACAAAACAAAACACTTAGTCTTGGCTGGGGAGATGGCTCAGTGAGTAAGAACATTTGCTGTGCAAGCATGAGGACCTGAGTTCTAATCCCCAGTACCCACTTAAAAGCTAGACATGGCGACATGTGCCTGAAATTCCAGTATTGGGGAATGGGAGTGGGAGATAGGCAGATCCTGGGGTTTGCAGCCCAACTGGCCTAGCTGAATGATGATTCTGGTTCAGCGAGAGACCCTATCTCAAAACAAACAGAAGAGAGTGACAGAAGAAGCTAGCCAACGTCCTCCTCTGGTCTGCACATTCACGTGTGCCCCTACACCCCACACACAGATACACACCAAAATAAATAAATATACAGATGTACACACACACACGTGTGTGTGTGTGTATATATATACGTGTATTTGCATATTCATTTTGTCAACTCATTTGTGAATTCACAGTTGTTAAGACACTCCAATACCTCCAATACTTCAGCTCCCCTGAGACCAATAGAAGCCCAAGCCATCATCACCTCTGAGAGCTGTGACACCATCTAGACTACCATCTACACTCGCACTCCTTCCGCTGGGCCTCAGATGCCCTTCATAACACTGTTTTCCTGCTCCTAGTTGTATTCACGACTTAGGCATTGCACTCGGTGTGGTATTTCTGCAGCCCTGTACTCTAGAGTGCTCTCCCCGCGTGCTTGTTCCAGGCGATGCTGATAATTCTTCCTCCATGTGTCAGCGCGTGTCTCTGTCTCGCAGCTGAGGTTAGCGATTGTCTCCTAAACCATGATTCAGGCTAACCTTTTCCACGAAGCTGTGGCGGTGTGGTGTGTGCACCTCCTGTCCAATGTTGTCAGTGGCTATAAGCGGATGCGTCATTCCATGGCTGGCAATGCTCACTCTCATTGCTTGACCATGCGGCTTCTGCCAGAGTTCCCCAGGGAGAAGCCACTATTTTCCCTTGGAAACTCACAACTCCTCTTTGGAGCGCCAGCTCGAGACTGTGGGACTCTTTGTCCGGTAACATTTTTTTCAAAAATCAGCTTATTGTGGATGGAAAGATAGCTCAGTGGTTCAGGGCACTTGCTTTTACAGAAGCCCTGGATTTGGTTCCCAGCACCCACGTAGGGCAGCTCACAATAGCCTATGACTCCAACTCCAGGGGATTCAACACTTCTCTGGCCTCTGAGGGCACATGCATGCATATGATGCACATAGAGACAAGCAAACACATAATGCATACACATAAATAAAAATAAATTATTAAGACTATACTTATCTATTTGTGTGTAGCCTGATGGATATATGTATAAGCCAGAGGACCACTTGCGGGAGTTGGTCCTCTCCTTCCACCATGTGGATCTCAAGAATCCCACTCCACTCATCAGGTTTGACAGCAAGTGCCTTTACCCGCTGAGTCATCTCACCGACCCCCAATAACATTTTTTATGCAGTGTGCACAGGTGTGCACACGCATATGCATTTGGAGGCCAAAGGACAGTCTCAAATGTCACTCCTCAGGCATTGGTTTTTGAGACTGGGTCTCGCCAAGTAAGCCAGGCTAGCTAGTCACCAAGTCGCCACAGATCGTCCAGCGCTGGGGTGGCAACCACGCACCACTGTCCCCGGCATTTTAAATGTGGGTTTCTGTGTATTGAACTCTCAGACCTTCAGGCTTGCACGGCCACCTCCCCAGCCCTTAGTTGACATTTTACATAGAAGAGCTTTTCATTCTCTCTTTCTCACGTGACGGTCTTCTTCATCTTTATGGTCACCCCCTGGGGTAAAAACTATCACTCCTACTTTAAGGATTTAAAAAAACTGAGATTCAGGGAGCCTGAAATATTTATTGACTGAGTATTCAGGACCAAGATTCACGACTCTCTCATGCCTGAAGTTGGGCCCATTCCCTCTGGAATCTTCTCAGATTCTCAGATGACTGGACAGGACAAGGAGAATTCCCGATGGATTCCAATAACAGGTGCAGAAAACGGGAGACAGCTGGGGATGCTGTAGCAAGGACACAGTTCCTTGAAGCTATGAGCCAGGCTTGCTCTCGATCAGCCCATCCCCTATGTTGGTACTCATCCTCCCTGTCCCCAGAAACCCTGCCCTTACCAGCTTTTGCTATGGTTTATGATTTGTGCAGCAGCATCATTAAATCCTAGAGCTGCTGAGATGTCCCAAGGTCAACTTTTCTACTTCCCAGAGTCCTGGAGGTGCACAGAACAATCTCCCCACATGGGGAAAGACAGCGATTCTGGGGTGTATGCAGGCAACAGACAGGACATGACTGTTAAAGACTGAATTTAGAAAAGTTCCATGCCTTTGCAAGGTCCCACAGTAAAGAACAGAGACTTATCATCTCTGCCCTAGACATGCAGAGGCGGCTGAGCCAAGGCCTGCAACACCAGAAAGGGCCCTGGGGAACTGTAAGCATTCAACAGGGTTGAAAGCACCTTCCTCCACCCTTGCAGGGCTCTCCTCTCTCCTCTGCATACCTGCAGAGTCCAGGCTGGCTGCCTTTCACGTGCCTTATTTCCCCCACCCCCATCCTTCCTAAGTGCCCAGGGGCTATGGGGCCCATTAGTGTGTTTATGCTAGAGTTGGCACAAGGGAGCCAAGTCAGACCCCCATACACACACTAGCCTTCACCCCCAAAGAGTTGCTAGTTGAGTGTGATAAGGGTTAGTCAGATGCGTGGCAGACCTGGCCCAGTGTCCAGATTCCTGCCTTGCTGTCTGAACAAGTCCAGGACAGCCAAGGCCCTGGAGAGTAGCGGTAGCCCCGGGTCTCACCACCCTTCTTCAGCAGCCCCTCCCATGCCTGACAGCCTCTAATCTCAGCTGTCTTCATGCAGCCATGCAGCCAGCCCGCTGAGCCTGAGGTCACCTGACGCCGACACATTTTAATTCACAAACTGATTTCTGCTTGTTGGCAACATGTCATTTCTGAAATTGCTTTCTCTGCCCAGAGGCAGGACGGTCGGAGTGGGGCAGGTGTGGCAGTGGTGCCGCCCCCACCCCACCCCCACTCCAAGTTCAGGAAGGATTAAGTGGGGGGCATACGTAAGATCCTCAAGCTCAGCTTCTCATGTTTCTCCAAGGGCCAGGGGGGCCAAGGATGGGGGGTGTTGGGGGACGGCCTTGGCTCTTCTCTCCAGCTGGAAGACAAGAGGCCTGTATGTAGTTCTGCAGGTGAAGCTGCTGCTGTGGCTACTGCTGCTGACGGTAACAACGGGAAGTGAATTTGCGCATTGCGCATGCTCTGCACAGATACCACACACCTTGCAAGGTGCATCGCTGGTGCGTCATTGCATTTGTGTGATGTAGTAACCTTCCTGGTTGATTCCTTCCCTCTCTGAAGGCTGGGAACTGGGCTCCCGTCATTCACACAGCAAGAGTGACAAGGCAGCCGGGCAGTGGTGTCACATGCCTTATTGGGCAGTAGTGACACACACCTTTAATCCCAGCACCCGGGAGGCTGAGGCAGGTGGATCTCTGTGAGTTCGAGGCCAGCCTGGTCTACAGAAAGAGGACAGCTGGGTCTACACAGAGAAACGCTATCTCAAAAAACCTAAAGAGAGGGACTGAAGCAATGGCTCAGTGGCTGAGAGCACTGATTGCCCTTCCAAAGGTCCTGAGTTCAATTCCCAGCAACCGCATGGTGGCTCACAACCATCTGTGGTGAGAT